CTATAAACATTAGTAAAAACAAATGAGAGATAATAGGTAAGAGGTGATTAACTAAACAACTTTAAAGGCATTTTGTTACTTCTTTTATATGTATTGCTGCAACATGTATTATTACTCCGCATCAGCATGTCAATTGCAACATAAACAATACAAGGTTTCTAATAAGTGGACGAACATGGCACCCGAACATAGTATTATTAATTGTTTCCAATGAACACATCTAACTAATCTAAAGATCCAATAACTGAAAATTACTAAAAACACATTTTACAAGCATTATCCATTGACTTCCTCATCATAAACAATTGTCTAGACCAATTAATAATTTATTTTTCCTCTACTTTATTAAAATGTATCAAAGTAATTACTCAATTTTGTTCCCAGTAACGTCATGTCATACAAAATGCATATAAGTAGTGGTTCAAAACCGATAGCACGCGATAATGATATGCATAGCCAACAAGAGCAGAACATTGACTTCATACGCAAATGACCTCTTACCACAAAAGCTGGCAGCCCATAACACAGAAAATGAATGCAAGTATTTACCTATTTCATAGAAAATGTCATTAACATTAGATGCAGTTTTTGCAGATGTTTCCATGAAGAAAAGGCCATTCTCCTGTGCATATGTTTGTGCTTCCTGAAACAGCATTAGTAACGTATCAGTAATGATGCTCTTCCAGTGAAAAAACTGTTATTTAGAATATCAATTCCGATATAATGCTAATGCCTTGAGAACTTTGAGATCTTGTGGATGGTGTATTTAAGTAAGTGAATAGATAGACTAAAACTCATAGAGACAGATTTATATTTGTAAAATGGGTCATAGGCAACAAGAATTGACATTCAGTAACCAATTGAATTTTGGACCATGATGCTATCTTTAACTACCAACCCAGTTTATAAGAAAAATTCAAAATGTGTGGTTTAATGTTTTCTACAGAAACATCTAAATTGCAAGTTTCACAAACTCACAGGTTTTCTGCCATATAGAACCTCTTTTCTCATAGCTGGGTCAGAGGACCTGTATATGAGTTTAGGCCCCAAGGAAGTGGCCTAACAGTAGAGGAACTGGAGTAACAATCTTGGAACCAAGGTTCCGTATCCAACCGAAAGAACACTAGGTAAGTCTTCTCATTTGTCAAAACCTTACAGTTTGGAGTTACTCGATGACTACGCTGGTAGTAGGCAGCCGATAAACTAATCGAGGTGCACAAGCTAGCCTTGATCCCACCGTTATCAATAACTACAGTTGAGGTTTTGAATACTGATTATCCATTTCACTTTGTTTGAAACCATTTCATTCCAAGATTCAATCATATAGGCTCTCCAACAGAATAATTTTTCTATATTTTCTACTGATGTACAAATATCACCACTATTAAGAAATGGAAACTGTATGAGTGCCTGTTAGGGAATTTTCTTGATCTAGATTTAATGGGAGCCACTAATCCTATTTTGGCAACAACATTTTTATTTTCTTTAATGTGTTTGGGGTGGGGTGTTTCCAAGCGTGATCCAAAGTGGCATAATCTGGACGTGTTTCCTCCAGTGTGCATCATTGTATATTTGGACAGCACCCAGATCAAACTTAGTCCAAAAAGATGTGAAGCCAAAGTTTGAAGGATTAAGCTCACCTATTCTAATTTTCTTTTGAGAAGTCTAATTTTCCACAAAACCCGTAATTAGCTTTGTTACTCTCTCTGTTTCCAGTTCCCACCCTGCCAGCACTTTCTTTGTGCTGATGAATAATTGTTACCTTTCTCAAAATTAAAGATTGCTCATTAAATTTTTTCAAACAATTCCAACATTACTGAGAAAGAGAGAGAGGAAGAGAGAGAGAGAGAGAGAGAGAGAGAGAGAGAGAGAGAGAGAGAGATACCAATTTTTTTCAATAAAAAAGCAACCCAAGAAAAGGAAGAAAAAAAAAAAAAGAAACACAACAGCGTAGACCAAGAATGATGGTTTAAGCACATGCATGTTGTAAATTTCTAATTTTCGGGTCTAGGCAGTAACATGAGGTTGAGAAAAGAGCACTGAAGAACACCTCCATACCGTAGGGTATCCGGTATAACCTTGCAAACCTTGAATAACTGGTCATGTCGGCCATGTAGTTGAAACTATCATTCACGCAATTCTTAAAAACTTGGGCAAATAACAACATCATGTGTAAATTGACACCCATATCTCCGGCTAATCTTTTGGTGGTGCTTTTGCACATTACTATCGATGGTATGGAAAGCAGTGTTGAGTCATAGGTACGAAAACACTAACCTCTGCAGCCACTTTTCTTGCATCTAACAAATCTGCCTTATTTCCGGCAAGTGCCATCACCATATTTGGATTACCTGGGGCGTAGTTTGAGGAAGAGAAAAGTAAGATACATGAAAAGACAATACGTTATACTGAAAAAACACTGCTGCATGCATCATCCCCATTCTGGCTTCATTGTGTGACAATGTTCAACTTTCGCCTCACCCATATGTGAAGCACCAAGTCCAATCGATCCCCTCCTATTACACACTAATTGATTGTTTCAGCATTTTTTGCCATAAGATTCTACCTTACTCCTAATCATACATCACCAAGTATTTCAGACATACTAATTTAAGTTAGGATATTTCGATACAGCCTTACAGGAATAAAGTCAGACAAGGATGCAACTTAAGATGTCACAGGTACCTTGTGCCTGAAGCTCCTGAACCCACTTTTTTGCCCTATCAAATGATGCCTATAAATAAAGAATTAAGAAACTAAGTTAACAAGTTCACATGCTAGCAAATATTTTCAGAGCAGCACCGAGTAATTATAACGAATAGTTGGAATCAGGTGAGAGAGTTACTTGATTTGTGATATCATAAACAATTATAGCAGCTGCAGCTCCTCTATAATACATTGGAGCAAGACTGTGGTATCTCTCTTGGCCTGCTGTGTCCCATATTTCAAATTTTACAGTAGCATCATTTACTGCTACTGTTTGGGAGAAAAATGCTGCACCAATAGTTGATTCCTACACATAACATAAGCTGAGTTAAATCGAAAGGTCCAAATATAAAATAGGAAACGCAGAACTAGACTCGATTTTACAGCTCACATATCAAATGGTAAACCAAGAACCTACCTGAAATTCAATAAATTGTCCTTTAACAAAACGCAGAACTAGACTAGATTTTCCAGCTCCAACATCTCCAAGAAGCACCTACAACCAAAAAACACTTCATTACCTTATCCAAACTTCAGTACAACCGCAAAAGGCATAAAAGATATCATAATAGCTACAATGGAAAAAATACATAACCAGGTTTACTATGAAAACATAGCATTAACAAATGAATAATAAGCAAGTGAAAAATCAAATTGAGCATATTACTGTACAAACTAATTCTAACCATAACCAATTTTATTATGACAACATAGCATCAGCAAATAGTAACCAACATGAATAATAAACTTACTGGCAAAGCACAAAAATAAAGAGAAATACCATATTTAAACTTTACAGATAAGGAAACAAGGAGCAATAGAAATCCAAATTGAAGAACTTTTCGTGATCAAACCCCAAAAAAAAAAAAAAAAAAAATTTCTAAGGCAAGAATCAAAATTCTGAAGAACTAAAAAAGACCCAGATCATATAAGCCAAAAAGAAGGAATCTTTATGGAATTAAAGCTGAACCCATAAGGAAAAATTGATAAAATCAAAGATGAGAGAACAAACCAATTTGGCGTTCATATTCTTGTTTCCACTGGTTGCCATAGTTGTTAATTGATCGAAATTTGCAAAAGAGAAGTGATTATTTGGTCGTGATTGAGATTTATGTGGTTGTTCGATTAGGGTTCTGATTAGAATTAGGACTTGAAAGAAGGAAGAGGAAGAAGAGAGGTTGACGTCAAGAAATAGCAAAAAAAGGGACACTCAACCAAAGTTCCTCTCTCTTGTTGATGATGAGAAGATTCCTTTATTTTTATCTGGAATTTTCCAACTCTTTTTTTCCTATTAACTTATTAATTTGGACTTGGAATTTTCTATCAATAAGAAAATAATGCAAATTGTGCCAGTTATTTTTCCACCGTCCAGTCCCCCTTCCCCTATGTAAAATAATCTAAAAAGAAAAGATTTTTGTGTGGTGCATATCTTTTAGGTTAAACTTTAATTTGGTCTCTAATGTTTCTTTATTGTTTCAGATTGAACTGACGGTCCAATATTCAGTATATTCATACTGTTTTGGTGGTCCCTTCAGGTACATCCAATAAAAAAAATATAGGCTTGGTGAAAAGTTTTCTGTTTTTTTTCTAAGTTAGTCAGTATGGACTCATGGAGATTGGAGTATTTGAGTTGAAATGTTGAACTATAAATCTTCCCTCTAACTTGGCTTAATTTGTCATAACACAAGATTTAACTGAAGAAATGAAATATTATCTTTATGAATTGTTATGAACAAGTTAGACCTTCTAATCGATGAAGGAAAACATGAAAAAATATTAAATATGTATTATTTTCTTTACACTCACCAAAAAAATACCATAGAATTACGTGACAATTTAAACTTTTCAAACTTGTATCTTTTATACTTGTTTTTTAAATTGGGGTGGAATTAAATTACAAAGTCGAGGGAGATGCATGTAATTTAACCCAGGACCTTTCCTTTCTTCTTTTTTTTGTGTGTGTGTGTTTTTTTTT